CAGTGAAGGTACATCATTCTCAAATGAAAAATATTTACCGTATTTTTTTGCTCCATAAGACGCACCTTTCCATAAGACGCACCAATTTTTTAGGAGAAGAAAACAGGAAAATATAATCTGTTTTCTTCGATCCTGTTTTGTGGGGGGAAAGTGCATCTTATGGTGCAAAAAATACGGTATATTAATTGGACAATGTATGGAAAACTTAATCTACACTGGTGGTAGTTGTGGGTTTTTCGGGCTCTTTGGCCGTGTTCGGAAGGTTGTTCTTCCTAACATTTCGCCAGTCTCTGTGGCCGGCATCTTCAGAGGACAGGAGTTAGAACTCTCTCTGTACTCTGGTAGAGTACAGAACTCTCAGAACATGGCCAAAGAGCCCGAAAAACCCACAACAACCATCAGAACCCGGCCGGGAAACCCTAGAGAATACATTAATCCACACTGTTAGGTTCTGCACCTATCCTATGACATTTAAAATATGCTAGACCTTATTTAAGCCGCTCAGTTCAGCCCATTCTCTACGAGCATGAACACACACTACAGTGCATCTTTCACTTAGCTCACATTAACCACAATATATATATTTCACAAACCAGTGGCCATCTCTAATGATTAAAAAAGTAACTGTTTTTATCAAGCAAAAGAAGAACATAACCTACCTGAAGGTTCTTAAAATATTACTGAAACAAGTTTCTATGTGATACACCCGACAGGCTAAGACTTTACTCTGCAACATGATTATTTCTACCATCTATCATCACCATAGGAAATCAGCGGAGGTAACGCTAGTACGTTTTATCTACACTAAACAGGGGTTCTATTCAGTTATATTTTAAATTAAAGCATTCAGATATTAAAGGCAATGAATGGGCAAATTATTCTAAATGTAAAATAGTGATCCCCTTCTCAGCACAATATGAAATGACACACTCCCTTTAATCTACCAACCTATACTACTGTCACAATCTAGTTACAATCACAGATACCATTATTGAGCTTGTCTACAGTCTACGACACTGATACAACAACAGCCTTTATGTCTACACGGGAGCATATACATTTCTGTGTCTGTGCGCACACATACATAGACACACGCACACACAGAGAGAATACTCACAAAGGGATGGGCAGCATGTGGCAAAGGCCCTTTTGAAAACAACAACCTAATCCTTTTGGCTATTGTTAGAAGCCTGACGGTCCTAGCTCCCCTTAAATAAATCAACTTTTTAGTCCTCATAATTACAAAGATACATTTGTGCAAGCAAGTTGCCTATCCTTCATCTGTCCTATTCCATGAACATCTGAAATGCTGACAACCCTACACAAGCCTAGATGAAGCATAATCTAAATATTTGTACACTTAAAATGACCACGTGGCATGTCTTGATACAAGGCATCAGAGAAGTTTTAAGTATTTATCTGTTTTGTTCTATATCATGTTAAAATTATTAAAATATAGAACTTCCTAAGCTCTAACATCCTGACAATCTGCTCACATGTGGATAAACGAATGGTCAAATTCGGTTGCAGACTGCCGTTTAATATTTTAATTTCAATGCACATCTTTGAGCATGCTTTAAGCATCTATTACCCATCATAATAAAATACATATAATAATAGTAGTAAGGCTATTAGGCAGGTAATCTTGCCATTTGGACATAAGCCTTTATTAAATACAAACTTTCTGAAATACAAAATGTCATTTTAAAATATTGAATTTTAGCTATTTCTTCTAGATGCTTTGTTTAAATACCCACGGTCTGCATCTATTACATACTATCAAAAGATAAATGTGATTGGAATATTCCATTTAAAAAGGCTTGGAAGGTTACTTTGTACAAGTAATTCATTTCTGTTACTCATTGTCTGAAAAATGATGCATGAAAAAGTAACTAGTAATGTTACTTGCTGTTTTGTTCATTAATTTTTGTCACTTTCTGTTACTAACTTAAACAAAAATCTTAGGAGAAGAAAATGGCACAAAATTTTAAAACGTCCTGCCAAAATGCCTCTGAAATGGCTTTAAATGCCTTTTTAAAAGTTAAAGTAACTAGAAAATGCTACACCAATAAGGTAACTTAGTTCTTACTCACAAAACTGTAATTTTGTTATGCTTGTGTTTCCCAAAAAAGGAACAGGCCTAAATTATTTGTAACTTGGAATTTCCAAGCTCTGATACCAAACACCCAAGTGACTCTATTACTGTACTTTTTATAAGTGACGGCCCAATATATTAACTTCTTCAAGTTCTGCCAGGGAAGTGTGTATAAAGCCTACTTCCAAGACACAGATCTTCCCTATCTGCAGCAGGTACCTACGTGGCACTGACTCAGTTATTAATACTGACAAAATACCAACAGCAAAAACACATAGGTAAAATAAACCATGCGGAAAACAACAGACTTCTAGAAAATAGGACTATTTACCGTATTTTTCGCTCCATAAGATGCACCTTTCCATAAGACGCACCAATTTTTTAGGAGAAGAAAACAGGAAAATATAATCTGTTTTCTTCACTCCATAAGACGCACAGACTTTACACCCCCCTGTTTTGTGGGGGAAAGTGCGTCTTATGGTGTGAAAAATATGGTATATTTGATGGTGACTATTAACACTTGCTCCATTTACATTTCACTATGCTCCTTCAAAGAGTTGGCTTCATCTCCCTGCTAAAGTTTTATTAATTTTTAAAAATTTGCATTTTCCGTTTTCTCTGTTTCTTCAGAATGTCCAAAGTGGAGTGGGGGGAGCGTAGGCTACAGGAAAAAAAATTGATTTTTATGCTTCCAGTACATGAATACTTCTTGAGGCTGATGGCAAAATATAACTCTAGTTCTTCTAAAATGACATTACTTTTTTTTAAAAGGATTTGCCTAGATTTGGTAATGAATATAAAATTCCTTGCATTCTGATTGCAGTGTAAAACTTTAAACAGAGGCACTGAACAGAAGGCTCTCCCTTGGAAGGAGAGAAAAGCACATGTGTGTAACACGATATCACATATTGCTTTGCAAATGACAAAGGCTGTAATCCTACATAGACATACTTGGAAATAAGTCCCACTGAAAACACTGGGAGTAACTTCTACATGCAGTGACAGGAATGCACTGCAACCATTCTTTCTATCTGTATACATGTCATTTAAATATTTAATATACAAGATTTGTTTCATTAAAAAAATCAGCTACCAAGGTCATCATATCAGGACTCAAATCTCTTGTCTAGAGATAGGGGTATTCATATACGAATACAAATATCTCAGCGCAGCTGGACTTAACAAGGATCCGGCCTGGGGGCCACACCGTCCACTCACATATCCTGCTGCTGCGGTACCCTGCTCATCCTTCCAATTGCTCCTGGAGCACAGTTCTCTTCCCGCTCAGCTGGTCACTCCAGGCATGGGGAGGGAGGACGAGTCTTCCTGAACAGCTGCCGAGTGGCCAGCCGAGCAGGAAGAGAACAGCACTCTGGGAGCAATTGGAAGGATAAGTGGGGCCACCACTGCAGCAGGACATGTGAGTGTATGGTCTGGCCCCACAGGCCCAACATTCATTAAGTCCAGATACTGAGGGATATTCATATTCGTATATGAATATGAATACCACCATCTCTACTCTTATTCTTCAAAAATCATGAGGTACAATTAGATTTCGCTGCAAACTACTGTGATTGCTACCAAAACCACCTCTATCAATAAATTTTTCCATTTCTTCAACAGGGCAGCTTTGCTGCTAAACGGATGGCATGTTTTGCCTGCACTCATTTAACTTCCCCCTAACAAATTATATCAGTGGTTCCGAACCTTTGGGAACCCAGGTGCTCTTGGACAGCAGCTCCCAGAAACCCTGGCCAGCACAGCTGGTGGTGAAGGCTTCTGGGAATTGCAGTCCAAAAACGTCTGAATTACCCAAGGTTGGGAACCACAGAATTATATGATTGGAAAGCTCCTTAGTCTACTCTTGGCAGTGCTATTCAGTTTTCTCAGCAACTGAAGACATGAACCCTATCTTCATCACTGAGGTCTAAAGACATCTCCTCCACTTCCTCTTCTAGTTGGAGGTTGCCAAAGGAATGCTTGTTCTTAGACACAGGAGATGAATTCAGCACTATGGGATTCCCAAATACAAGAGGGTGGGTGAAAGGGTTAACCATTTCTGAATCTGAGTCACTAGATTCTGTCCCACTGCTTGTAGAACCTTCCATAATTTGAATGGCAGACATGTGGTCCATCATGCCTCTAGGATACAGAGACTGAATAACTGGACTTTGCTTTGAATGGCCAGCAGCTGGCAAACCATTGGCCATACCTTTGCTTTCTACAGGGGCCATTTTAAGCACTCCTTTTTGATATTGCCTGTCTGATCTGTAATCCTGATTTGGAGTTGAAGATGAATGGCTCAAGATGAATGGATCTGTTTCAGACCTGTTGCATGCGTTTGGAAGCATCTGCAGATGCGGCCTTCGCGAGACTGGTGAACACTTGCTATAAGTGGGGCAGTTGAAAGAATAACCATCCTCATCTTCACTCCTGGCCCTGTAGTCATGCCCATTTTCAGAGACACAGCGCTGACACTCTGCTCTGATGAAACTCATGGGAGGGCTTGACCCTTTGCTATTGGAAGTCAAGGAAGGGGCCAATGGACTACGAGTATCTGGACCCCTAAACATTTCATCCACCAGAGTGCTGTGTCGTGGAATTCTGGGACTCCCACCAACATAGAAGGACCTACTAGTGGGACTGCCATCACTACAGTCTTCAGTGGCATGGTAGGATGCTTTTATAGAGGAGAGTGAGGAATCCCTATGTCTATTGCTATTATGTTGTTCACCTCTACAATCAATGTAGGCACCACTGGTCAAATCACCCTCATAATTGTCATTTGTTTGGGAATGTGATCGGGTTATTTGCCACCTGAGGAGGTCATACTCGCTATCTACATCACTGCAGTCAATGAAAGGAATGGACGTGCTACTGCCACGAGCAGCTCGGGATGCAGGACCTGTGCTCGGCTGCTGTGCCTGAGATCTACTGTGCTGTGCTCTGTCCTGGGCAACCTCCTCTTCCTCCTCCATTGCTGCCATTGCAGCACCATCCAGCCTCCTGGCTTCCTTGGGGCTCTTGTTCAGGGAAGGGGCTGTGAGTTGTCCACCATCTTCCACTTTTAACTCCTTCCCTTGTCGACAGCTTTGCACCACTGGGGAATCAGCACCATCTCCGTATGTAAAACTGCTGCTCTGTAAAGCAATAAGGAGGAAAAAGAAACAGAGTTTATGAAAGGAGAAAAGGAGAGAAATCAGCACCAGTTTCAAAATCAAGTATGTTACGAGTGCATCATACACAGGTTAGTATTACAAAGGATAAGCTGTTGAACTGTACAGATCTCTGACCTTCAATGTAATGTGGAGGCAAAGGAAACAGGGCATGACCTAACCTATTGGTATGGCACCCATTTTCTAATTGCTTTATGCCAGGTTAAACCTCTGGAATCTCCAGTCAGGAAAGCAGGCAGCAGGTAACATAGAATACTGCCTCCTGAAATCTAGAAGAGTCACATCCCTTCAGCATACGACATACTGAGCTGTATGCACAGACACTCTGACCTGGCATGAAGCAGGTTTCTATACTTCTATGAGAAGATGTCGCATGTACCAGTATCATTTTCAGCATGCAGTTGGACACCGAATGCACAGCTGGGTAAAAAAAGTGCTGTTTGGGCCATTTCAATCCTTCCGAGTTGGCTTCTATCAGTTCCCAACTGATTCCCCCTCCACTGCAATTTTGCATCCAACTGCACACTAATACCTCCTCCAATTACATTATACCACAATGGATTTGGTTCTTTGGAGCATTTCTGGATTGTAGGCCATATTTGGAAGAACCAACAGAATAAATTAGTCTGCATGCAAGAGGTTTAAACATTTCATTTTATCACTCACTTATTGAAACTCATTTATTGAAATTCATCATCACGTCTGCATGCAAGAGGTTTAAACATTTCATCCTATCACTCTTTAAGTCACTTATTGAAACTGAATTCATCATCATTGTAAGAAACACTGTGATATATAGCAAGTGGGGAACATGAAAGATAAATGTGAAATAAAGGTGACGCGCATAGTAGCAAAGCAAGCATACCTGAAGGATTCACACAAACATTTAAAAAATGAACTACATGGCAACAAATATATTGAATGTGACCCTACTCAACCTATAATTCAACACAAGTAAGGAGGATACATGGCAACAAATATATATATATATATATATACAACCTATAATTCAACACAAGTAAGGAGATAATTCCTTTCTGAATTAAATGATTTTAGCCAAAATACTTATATGGCTATTATTCTTCCTTTTTTTGGAAATATGTTCTATTTTCATCTTATGTTAAGAGGAATTTCACCAATAGCTCATTTTCTTCCTTTGACCCACCTCTGGACAACCATCGTCTGAAGGAGATAATGACCACAAATTATTAGCAGGTTGGACTTCTTGGGTCTTATTTTATGCTTGAGGAATTATGAAAGTTAGCAAACAATTTAGGGGGGAAATGATCTTTCTGTAGATAAGCTGGGATGACTTTCTTCAGCATTCTCAAAAAAGCAGAATAGAATTGTTTTCATGGTTCATAAAGATGGCATTCATTCCAGGAAGCTCCCTGCCCTCCCTTACCAAGGCGGCCACCTGTGTACTGTTTCATGTTACAGTATCTGCCATGTAAATCACAGATGTCTTCAATCTGGGTGGGAAGAAACCTAACTTTGTTCAAATTGTATCAAAGTATGCTAATCACACACAGCAAAATCACATCTGCATAATTTATTTAAATTCCTCAATTAGTAATATATACATTCGTCGGGCATATTACTTTAATCTTTTTATTGGTAAAGATTGCCTACGGTAAGTGAAATCTTTCACCAGTGCTTACACATTCTGTTCATTCCAAACCAGGGAAAGGATAAGGTTGCTTAAAACCATGGTGTTGCTCTTCATTTGGCTGTGAGCACAATACTGAACAAGGTCTGGCAAAGACAAATAGGGTTATTAGAACTCATGTTTGTGAAAGAATGGAATATAACTGACTTCTTTTGGCACCTCTGATTGCTGTTCTGAAGGCTTTGCAGTCAGGCTTCTAACAGAGTGAATCTTGCTGTGTTTCCTGGGGATGGGAGGAAAAAGCACAAACATTTTGCAAGAAAACTATTTTCTAAAAATCCATATACTGTTCTCCAGTCCATTAATAAAGCACGGCAGACAAATGTGCATTAGCAGAAAATCCAGCTTTGAACAGATCTTCTCAGTCAGAGAAGTGACTGTATCCATCTGTAATACGTTACTGAAGGAGTTACACAAACTTTCAGAAAAGGAAAAGAACAGAGCAGCAAAGGAATGATCCTGCGACCACAAAAGATGACTCAGAATACAGACCTGTTGCTAGGAGCATTATACAGCTTAGCAAAAACATTGCACTTACCCTGTCACAGATGACTTTAGCAACAGATTTGGTAATCACAAACAAAAATTCTCTCTTCCACTGTCCAACACTCCACTCCCCCTGGTCAGCTGTGTCAGCTAGGGGTATAATTTCTCTCTCTCTCTCTCTCTCTCTCTCTCTCTCTCTCTCTCTGTGTGTGTGTGTGTGTATGTATGTGTGTGTGTGTGTTTGTGTGTGTCAAATTAACTAAGTGCAGTAATCACCAGACAGGAAGATTCCAGCCAGCAGCACATTTGACCCTCCTGGAAATCACCCACACCAGGAAAGTCCAGGTACTGTGTCTGAGTGGTCTGTGTGAACCCCTCTGTACTGGCCAGAATCTCGACAGCGCTTCAGCTGGACTCCAGCAGGAAACCCGCAACTAACAGTGCACAGCTTGAAACAGCTAGTTTCTGGGCTACAATACCTATTAATAGGTAATGAAAATGTGCCTAGAATGGAAAAAAACAAACCCTTCGTCAAATAGATGAGCAGGGAGCAGCATCCCATTTTGTAATGTTGTGTTTTAGAGATGCACTCTCTGCCTTTTTATTGTGCCTTTTTAGACTGTCATGTGCTGTCAAGCTGGAGCTGACTTACAGACTCTAATAATAGGGCTTCTAAGGTAAGCGAGTTATTTAAGGAATAGTTTGACCGGTTCCAGATCCCCGTGAGTTTCTCTGGCTGAGAAGGCATTCAAACCTGGGGCTCCTGAGTGCTAGTTCATCACCCTATCCACCGCACTGTATTAGTTTTTCAGGTTATATTTTTGGACTGACATATGATTTAAGTTCTTTTCTGTAACTTTTATAGCTAGAAGCTTATAACCGAAATAGATTTTATGAAATTATTTAACTACAACTTCATTTACTTTTGAGCATTTGTGACTATTTTTTTTCATGGACGCAACATTTTTGGATGTCTTTTATGCATTTTTATGCATCTGCACCTACAGCTTTTTCATTGCTGTAAGTTTAATTTCTGTATAACTGAAGCAACATGACTATAACAGAAATTATATTTTTAACTATTTAGAATATTTTATGAACATGGAACATAGAAGCAATGTAGCTGAATAAAGGATTGTAGAAATAGACAAGCTGATATTGCCAAGAATTTATTTTCTACCTGGGAAAAAGTAGACTGAATAAAATGTGGATTTCTAGAATACTTCAGCATAAGTGAAACAATGGTTTATTCTCATTCTCTGAAGAGAGAGAGTATTTAATCAACTTATACCTTGATACCCAGATGAAATTTGATATGACTGGAAAGATTATCTGATTTCACACTGGAATTAACCCTTTCAGGAATTAATGCCAGCTGTAATGAACAACCACAGACTCAAGCTACCTACCAATTGGTGTGGTAATCTTGTAGTGCTCTGAGGGTTTGTTTGAGAGTCATACTTTTGAACTTGACAGGTGAGTAAGGAGAGACATACTGCACATTAATTTATTTTGTGTACACTACTGTTTTCCTTTTAGAGATTAAGCAGGCCAGGTTCACTTCCCATTTTCCTAAAGCTGTCTTTCGGCTGACTAAGCTAAATAAGTTTGCCTTGAGTCTTTAAGAAAAATAGTAAAAGAAGAAATGACTGCATGGAAGATGCTATGGAAGAGTTGCTAACTTCACAGCTGGAAGTTAGCAACTGTACAGTGGCATGGGTACATGAGGAAATGAGAGACCCCTTGAACCCCTTTAATGCCATGCCCTACTGACCAAATCGTTAGCCAATCTCTGAAGGAACTGTCTAACTGGTTCCACAAGAATCTTTAAAAGTATGGTAGACATGGAAACATATTCTGCAACTCACTCCATGTTGATATATACAGTATCAGTATATGGGTACATTGGCCTAAAGCAACCAATTTGATGGGTGAACAGAGACAGGATTATATAGGATTTGTGATCTACACAACAAAAGTGAACTCATAAATATGATTACAACACATAGCAAATTACTCGGGGTTTAAAATTATCATGGCTTCAAGAGATGCACATTAGCTCTTTTCTTGGAATGCTATCAGGAAATCTGGGAACACTAAGGCAGAAAGACTAACTAATAGAGCAAAATGGAGAAAAGAATAGAAAAATAAGAAAAGTTCACAGAAGTGTAGTAACCTTTTTTTGCCTATTCTTGTGACAATGCTACCCCATCAGCTCCTCATAACAAAAACCAAAGTTCTGGTGAGATTTATTACAGTATGTGATATCCTGCTGAAACAAAATTAATAACATCTATGGCAAAAATACATGATTAACTATTCCTCTGATAGGATATTGTAAATGAATGAATGAATGAATGAATGAATGAATGAATGAATATTCCCCTCTCACTCTTCTCCTATTCACTTTCCCTCTGTCCCTATGCTATAGGTAAATGTTTAATCATTTAAAACTGTACATTAAAAAAAACCCAAAATCTTTGAAAGCAAATAGACCAGACCAGTAGGGAACATGATGAAGTCTTTCTAACCTTTCAAACTGTACTTTTTTGTGTCCTCCTTCTTTAACATAGTCAAGAACCTGCTTTTGAGTTCGGCCACTGGGAAGGGAAAAAACAAAAGACAAACAAACACATAGCAGGGTTAATATTGGCGGAATAAAGGATTCTTCCTAAAATTGTTCACATCTCGTATCCTGTGCTTACAACTGTAAGTACTCATCTTACGACTGACAGTTTGTATCATCTTATATTTTTACAGTCATACTCATCTTGTACCATACAGTACTTAATAACACTTTCCTGCCTCAAGTTCACATGTCTAGAGAGACCCGTATACATTCATCAGATGCACCAGTGTGCTTATAAGCGGAGGTAATAGTTGTGAAAGAAATTTGCCAGGTATGAAATGACTGTCAAAAAGTTAGTTTTGTGGATAAATAAAACAAACAAAGCATTCTGTATGCTAATCAAGTATTCATTGCTATCTAAATGGGATATTCCCTCATGCTCTCCAAGTAATGACAAAGTAAAATAATTGAACTGATAAACAGGCACAATTAAAATGCTATTTCCCTTTTGTGCAAGGAAACCACTTTTGTAAATACTACATGAAAGTATTTCCAAAGACTCAAGTAACTACAGTATGATTCTATCACTGTTGTTATGAAAGGAAATTAAAGAAATTAGAAACAAATGTGCAGGAGGGCAAGGAGATTTCAATTTGTAACATACAGTTTTAGAGGCACTTGGAACATTGCTGTTGTCGTTTCATAACACTTTAATGTGCCACATAAGAAAATACAAACATACAGCTAAAAAAAATTCCATAGAAAGGGGAAACACATCAGGTGAAATATACAATCATATGAAGACACATGACCCTCTCTCACAAATCTGACTTTCCATAAAGCCTGGCTAGTAACAGCTTCCTAACCAAGTCTGCAAAATACAGGTTCTGTCCAATCAGGAGAGATTCCCCTCCTCTACGAAGTCTCTATTCACAGAAAATCCCAGTGCCTAGGACCTTCTCCATAGAAAGCACACTGAAGAATTGCTCCTCTCTTTTATTCAGGCAATCTGGAATGTTGAGTCTCAAAACACTTTTCAAAATTATCCAACAGGCAATGAAATCATCTTTCACTCTTTAAAAGATTCTTCAGGTCAACCTTTATTACGAGACTGAATAATTTCTGAGAGATGCAGTGAAAAGCCTAGAGATCAGCATAATTGGTTACCACAAATTACATGCCTGGGAAACTGCATCCTCAGCTATCCCCTATATAAGCATGAAAAGCTCAGTGTGAAGAAGAAACTTCACATGTTAGTCAAGCTGCAGATGCAGCAGAAAAGTGCAAACCAATATATGTGACGAGTGACCCACAGAGCTGAGCCAGCAAAACAGACACAGGGAAAGGGTCAATTTAACTTCTAATTTGACTTTTTATTCTGCCTCTGATCAAGAGCAAAAGGTGAATTTTAAAAAGAAACAACAACTAAAGTATAAAATATACCTCTGCTCTCTTATGAACAGATTTAAAGCCCAAGCAAATTTGCCTTTCTACTATCCAGGTGACACCAAAACATAAATGGAAAGTTTAACAAAGTAATTTCACACATTCATTCATATTCTGGGGGGAAATATTAGTTTTTGATGTAGTTATATGGTTACAAAAAGTGCAAACCAATATATGTGACGAGTGACCCACAGAGCTGAGCCAGCAAAACAGACACAGGGAAAGGGTCAATTTAACTTCTAATTTGACTTTTTATTCTGCCTCTGATCAAGAGCAAAAGGTGAATTTTAAAAAGAAACAACAACTAAAGTATAAAATATACCTCTGCTCTCTTATGAACAGATTTAAAGCCCAAGCAAATTTGCCTTTCTACTATCCAGGTGACACCAAAACCTAAATGGAAATTTTAACAAAGTAATTTCACACATTCATTCATATTCTGGGGGGAAATATTAGTTTTTGATGTAGTTACTGTATATGGTTACATAGTAGAAAAAGAAAGCTGTACTGTTACAATGAACTATTTTGCAGCACCTTAAGAATGTACAGGGGACGTGGTGGTGCTGTGGGCTAAACCGCAGAAGCCTGTGCTGCAGGGTCAGAAGACCAAGCAGTCGTAAGATCGAATCCACACGACGGAGTGAGCTCCCATCGCCTGTCCCAGCTCCCGCCAACCTAGCGGTTCGAAAGCATGCAAAGTGCGAGTAGATTAATAGGGACCACCTCGGTGGGAAGGTAAACAGCGTTCCGTGTCTAAATCACACTGGCCATGTGACCACGGAAAGATTGTCTTCGGACAAACGCTGGCTCTATGGCTTGAAGAGCGGGATGAGCGCCGCCCCCTAGAGTCGGACACGACTGGACAAAAATTGTCAAGGGGAACCTTTACCTTTACCTTTACTAAGAATGTACAATCAATGTAAAATCAATCTCAAAATTATGTTTATGAATGAAAAATTAAGGAAATGTTCTTATTTCATAATCTTTGATAGTATGCCTAACAAGATCTATGTCAATCCTGATTTTTCCCTATTTTCACATTTTCATCACATTTTATTGCACTTATTTAAATTCAAAACAAATTAGCTAATGTTAGACATCTTATCAAGGAGCAACCTTTTACTAACCTATTGTAACACTAGTAACATTTTCCCACTCAAAACCTGTATTAGTAGCTATTAGCAGGCAACGTACCAATATTGGCCACAGGATATTGTGGTCACAAAATATTTTGTTCTACAAAGAACATGTCTGAGATGGTGATCAAAGGGAACATCCAGATATCCACTGGCTGGCCACCACATTGCCTGTTACAGCCAAGAATGTCTTTCAGTATGTTGGCTTTGACTCTGCCCTGCACACTGACTCTCCCATCTCCTGCAGCAAGAACTCTGACCAATACAGCATTCCAATACATAAGATTGCAAGAGGTCCTTGGCAGGATATCATTCTGTTTTTAAGGTTAATGACCTCCTGGGCCAACATCTGTTTAGATATTTTGCTTTCTGCCACAATTCCTCACTGGAGGTCATCACCTACAAGTATTGGAATTGGTCTTTAAAGCCTTCAGAAACATCTGAATGGGCACGGATACTTCACAACTGCAAACTGCTTGGGTCCCAATAAAGGAAAGTACTGCCATGTCTTAATATAACTTTCAGCTACTAATCTAATTCTTAAATGTCCCAAGAGTCTAGTCATTTTGCAGTACAATTTAACCTGAAAAAGCAACAAAGCAAAAACAACCCACCCATAAATAACACAAGCTAGGCCTCATGGGCAGTACCATACTTGATATACGAATATGTACCAATATTGAGCAAGGCTAAAATCATGCCGCCAGCCTTTTGCCCCAAAGTGCTGGAAGGTGGCAACATCAAATTCAACTTGAACCATGTCATAAGTAATCTCTTCTCATGGCTTTCTCCAGACACAGTGTTCCTGCTCACAGCTTGTAGAACCGCCAAGTTCTCTCTCTTCTTCTTCTATGCATGTCAGTTTCAGGATTTAGCTGTCGCAGGAAACCGTGACTTAACAAAGCCAGGCACACAAGATGTGAAGGGAAAGGAAGGAAGGAAAGTAAATATTCAAGTTCATCATTGGTTTCCACCATGGCAAACCACACTTGTTAGAGCAAGAGCATTACTGTATGTCTGAATCAAGCCTGTGCCACACTGAGTGAACAAAGTGCTCTCAGGAATTAATACAGTAAAGAAAACCAGAAGCAGTTTGTGATGACCTCAGCGTGTGGAGCTCATCCCAGAGTCTTCCAATAACATACCACCTTGCTTGGACCAGAAGCCACCTTTAGGAGAAAAATTGTATCCTACCTGAACCTAAAGGATGATCCTCTAGTAAAGAGAACAGGTTTAGGCTTTGGTTTTGGTTCCTCAAAGAGTCTGAAGAAGGCATGATGTTCTACACAGATCTTCCAAAAGGCCTTGCAAAAATCCCGGCTGGCCATTAAGAATTCTAACGTGTCCTGGAAGTTACTCTGAAAGGGGAAAAGAAAAAAAAAGAGTAAGCATCATATTGGAATCAAGGAAAATATTGGAATAAGGAAAATACAAAACTGTACACAGTCACAAGGAAAAGGTTGGCTTTCACATGAGAATCCCTGGCCCAGCCACACTTTCCCATGTACCTAAGCTTCTTAAATTGTATCCTACCTGAACCTAAAGGATGATCCTCTAGTAAAGAGAACAGGTTTAGGCTTTGGTTTTGGTTCCTCAAAGAGTCTGAAGAAGGCATGATGTTCTACACAGATCTTCCAAAAGGCCTTGCAAAAATCCCGGCTGGCCATTAAGAATTCTAACGTGTCCTGGAAGTTACTCTGAAAGGGGAAAAGAAAAAAAAAGAGTAAGCATCATATTGGAATCAAGGAAAATATTGGAATAAGGAAAATACAAAACTGTACACAGTCACAAGGAAAAGGTTGGCTTTCACATGAGAATCCCTGGCCTAGCCACACTTTCCCATGTACCTAAGCTTCTTAAGTTACGTCCAAAACATTTCCATTAGACTGTACGAAACTGAGAAGTTTTAAGTGGTGTCAATTCAAGACAAATAATAAAACTGAAATGTGTATCTTCTATCTCTATTTTCACTAAGAATGAAATAATATTTTAATCTATTCTTCATAATCTTTTTCCAATAGATTTTCATAATCTTTCTTCGTAATCTTTTTGTTCTGGATGCGTGCAGCATCCAGAACAAAAAGAAGGAGCCTACTGGAAGGTTGGAACTATTCACTATATACTTTAGATTTCAAATCAAGAACACATGTTGGGTCAAGATGTTCACGACATACCCTTATAATGGGAATATATTGCAGGAAACGCTTCAACTATACCAAGCTGGCTATCTTTTTTCCCCTTAAAGTAGTGCTTAATCATTTCTATTGCTGACCTACTTTATCTTCTCCAAATCCTTTAATCAGAACTGATGCCAGTCTCAAGATATCCATTTTGTGGAGTGCTATAGAAAACCGACAATAAATACTTTAAAATGAACTTCATAACTCATGGAGGCTGAATGGAAACATTTCCTAAAGTATCAGTCCTCTATATGAAAAACTAGAGCAATGTGGAAAATGTATGGTCCTCAGATGCTGTTGGACTGCGACTCTCATCATAGGCAAGTACGGCCAAAGTTGAAGTAAATTAGAGGTCCACATGTTCCTAAGATAAGGATACAAAACTTAGGCCTAGTTTCTACTAAAGTGGTAAAGATGTGTCTGCTCTGTACCATTCTGGAACACAGATGTGGCACCATGTGACTGAACAATTGTCTCCACATAGAAAAGCGAATGTCATGGTCCTTGCCTCACCAGCTTGTAAACCTCTAACACAGCCTGAAGTGGTTCAGGGAGAACTAGGCCCAAGACTCTGGCATGGTTACCGGAAGTTGGAGCTGATATGTGGGGATCTGAAGCTCAAGGCAACTGAAATAAACATCCCTTGCCCAAGAAGAATTTTGATTCCCCAGAGGATCTTGTAGAAGTCCTATAATATAAAAATATAAAGACTTGCCAGAATCCCATTGCCTATGCCTGCTGGCATGAGTCCAAAGGCTTACAAATCTCCAGTGAATTGCTGCTAGTTAAGAAGTCACCCATTGTATTTCCTGTCACATTCCAGTCATATGACCTGGCAAGCAAAAAGAAATACAAATGCTAGCTTCTTAACTAATGACAATTCACGGCTGAAGTGGAAGCAGCAGATCCCACAGAGCAGGCAATAATAAAATGACTAGTACAAACATGGAGAGTCCCAAATGAACTCAGCAGCCGTGAGATGAGTAAAGCTGAGAGAGATGATCTTCTGGTGAGAAGATAAGGATCCACTTCTTACATTACAGCTCCAAGAGACTGGATGGGGCATTATATATATTCCTATACAAAGCATGGCAAAACTACTCCTTCTGATGACTTCTCCCAGAATTTGCCAGTCAGTACAAGATCCTGGGTGGTTTGTAGCCATTAAAAGAGCTTTTCTAAGCTCTTTTCACATTAGCATGCAGAAATGAAAACTGTTTAAAGTACCCACTATGAAAAACTAAACGGGAATAATTCATTTTAAAATTCTGTTAAGTATCTGAAAAGAGAGGAGCCTTACAAAGAACATTGCCACTTCAAATTCCATTCCATCGCACTGTGCCATTCCAAAGACTTACGTTTACATCTGGCCGTAACTTTATAAGAAAACGCTTCCTCTTAAAGCTCAGTTTTCGAACTTTAGCCCAGTTAAAGGCATTGATCTTGGTGTGACCCTAGATGATGAATAATAAGCAAAAATAGTAAGCATGAATGCTTCCTTCCACAAAATAAGGTAATTCATCTATAAAATGGTCTATAACTCATTGCCCCCCCAAGGCCTAGAGTTAGTGGATGGATAGTGATGTTCTAGGCAGCATTGTGTTTCACACCAATGCCCATATTAACCAAGAAATTGGATTTTAAGCCCTCTTAATTTTTTACAAGAGCTAAAGTATTCCACAGTATAAAACTTTACTTAAGGCTCTAGTAGGCCTTATCTCATGAGAATTTTTGTCTGCCAACTAATGTCTGGTTTTTTTTTTTGTTTTTTTTTTTGCAATTTAGACTGAATTATGATGAGAGCCACTCACATACCTGAAACACCAGAATGCCTGTATGTGCAACTGCTAAGTTGATCTTAGTTCCTTCTCTGTCCTTGGCTGGATGCAACCGGATTCCATACATTTCCAAACGACGGGCAATTTCAAGTAGCTGAAAATCGGATTCTGCTGGTGTTTGTCCACTAAAGGAATGATAATTGATTTGACACAGTATGAAGACATGAAGAACCAGTTGGTGGTCTTCAAGGCAGATGTTGTTTCCTGTTCAGACTTGCATACACAGTTGTTCCATGTAAAACAGATTCTAGTGGTAACTTTAGTGTTTGCACAACCTAACAGAATTTTTTAAAAACTCTCCCTACATGTGCTATGCTCATCGACTGGACCACCAACTACCTGTAACAGTTTATATGCTAAGCACTGGGTGTGATGGAAAACAAACAGGAAGTGCAACTACCTCAAGCGTTCTGTTCTTCCATAACACAGCTTTGTATTTCTTCCTGTGCAATGTCCCATGCAGAATGACAAACACTTTTGTGGCATTTTAAAAATGAACACATTTTGCTTGGCATTGGTTTTTGTCCCAGTTCTTTAGAAATTTCTGACAGAAAAATATTTTTTTTAAAATTGGCACTTACACTATTTTGCAATGTCTAAATGAGATTTTTGACACACAAATAGTTTAAACAGAAGTAAAGCTGCCTTGGAGGTTATGGGTCAATAAAAGAGCAGGGTGGGGGAAGGCAGAGGAATTTGAAGGGAGTAAGCCAAGGAAAAATATAAATTCATTTTTCTTTTCTTTACTTCAGTCCTAGTCTTTGTATCTTCTACTATGCAAGTCCTTATACCTTAAACATTATACAGTATTTTTCCCCATTTGTGATACTTCACCTGTCTCCCAAAGTGGAATGTCCATTGCTTTCCATTTCTGTGTACTATCCTTCCTCCTCCTTCTATCCCATTATCAAGACCTGTTCCTAGTATTAATCTTTCTCCTATCTTCCTTAGCTAAGTCCTTTCGACAAAGATCCTGCTTCATATTCCACATGGCACTTGGCTTATTATTTCTGGCACTTAAGCAGTAACACTTACATATGATTACGATGAAATTCCATGATTTTGTCTTCTAATGCTTCTTGCTGAGGTATATACTTGTTCTTTGCTAAGTGTTCACGATCAATGGTTTCATCAAAATCCCCTATCTCAGCTAGAGAGAGAGAGAGAGAAAAATGCACAAACTCAGTGAGTGTAAACCAGGCACTGAGAGGCATAGTAAAATTTCACCACAGTGTATGGAGACAACCCAGTCCTATGTATATTTATCACTAAGCAATATGACACACTTCAAGGTTGTATAGATTTTATATTCTCAAGTTGGCTCTAAGACACAAAATTACTAGCGGGTGGTATTGAGACAGCAAAACACTGCAATCAGGGCTTGGAAACTTCATGTAAAACATTCAAAGTTTGAAAGTTGAAATGTAGCTGTTATAAACCCACTGCTCCCATGCTATGGCTCTACCAACATATAAAACAGTTTGGGGTGCACATGGCCCTCCCATCATCCCTCACCAGTAGTTAGAACTGACAGGAAGCCCATATGTGCTCAAACAACATCTAGGAGCACACGTTCATCAGCCCACCATAAAGCTTATTCATCCGGTTCTAATTGCAACAGCGAGACTTCCAAAAACTTAGTAGGGTATACGATGAAAGCATGGTAATGAGCGGAGATCTCCAGTTTACTGCAAAATACACTGTTCCCTAGAAATACTGTACTTCTCTCAAATCTCCCATATATTTTCTTTTACATGGTTGCAACAGAGATGAGGAAAAGTGTTTCGTGCCTCAGGCAGAAGATCCAAAATGCACTCTCCCAATCCCATCTCAAGGATGGTAATGCCATAATCAAAGTAACTCACAAGGTGGTGCCTTGTAATAATACCCAATCACTGGGAACTGACTGGAGTTGGCCTGGAACCTGGGATATACAAAATCTTCACTGATCCCTGGATCTCAGTAAGCTGACATTGGGTCAGCCACCTCTTTCGCTCTTACAAGGTTGTTGCAAAGATCAAGAATGAAAAAGAAGATCCCCTAAGACAACTTTTTGCTAACTGAAGGAAAAGCAGGATATAAATGCAGCAAGTAAATGAATAAAAGGTGCTCTCAGATCATTGACTTGCCCTAGGCGGCTCTTGAGAATCCCCTGGACTGCAAGGAGAACAAACCTATCAGTTCTAAAGGAAATCAACCCTGAGTGCTCACTGGAAGGACAGATCCTGAAGCTGAGGCTCCAGTACTTTGGCCATCTAATGAGAAGAAAAGACTCCCTGGAAAAGACCCTGATGTTGGGAAAGTGTGATGGCAAGAGGAGAAGGGGACGACCAAGGATGAGATGGCTGGACAGTGTCTGCGAAGCAACCAACATGAATTTGACACAACTCCGGGAGGCAGTAGAAGATAGGAGGGCCTGGCATGCTCTGGTCCATGGGGTCACGAAGAGTCGGACACGACTAAACGACTAAACGAAACGAAATGCATGCCACTACTGTATTAAAGATATAAAAATACAATTCTACTAACACATGGAGAGGATTGTGCAGACTGAAAACCTTATGCAGGTGTATACAACATAATGGGCTTCAAACCAGACTTTGGCATGAATTAGCTGTAAATTTAGCAAATTACGAATGAGGTGGATGGGGGAAACATGTCTTCATGAATCACCACCTGTCTCAAAGTAAGAGAGTAAAAAAGTAAAATTTATTCTAAATACAGAATAAATGGAATAGCAATTAATGCAGGGTAGAGGTTGAATCAACTTCCAAATGCCAATTCCTTCCTACTGCTCTTTTGGCCACAGTTTCTGAATAATACGTGGGTTATAAATCAGGCACTTCCTGATGCATTTGACTTTAAATCCTTATTTCAAAGCTTGGTTGAACAATCCTAGCCATAGTATATACTGCTATTTCTAAGCTGCTTATCTGCACATTGAGATGGGAATTCTTTACCAAGATGGGAATGAGGTGGCAAAAGCAAAGATAATCCCACGTCATACATGTCTTTTAACCCCACATCAATAGACAAAATCACTCTTAGGAATCTAGTTTTGGGGTCAAATGTACCTCACAATTTTTAAAAAACTAGTGGAAGGTATGAAGTATATTGCAAGTTAAAAAAATGCACCATTTTTGTTTTTCACTAAAATAATGTAATTGCATAGAAATAAACAGGAATTAATGAAACACCATAATGTAAAGCATATAAAACTTACGAGAATGTTATACGGACAACTAAATTATCCTATATATTTTTTAAAAATAAAATGTACTGTGCTATTAATATACATATAACATGAACGTTGACATATTGAAGTGCAATAATAGTTGCAAGGACTCATGTGTAAATTACTTTAAAGGTGTCACTAGCAACTATGTCTTCTGCTTCTGTTTCTTCTTTTTTTAAAAAAAATTATATGTCAAATCTTGTTGAAGTGTGAAATCTAATTGAAAATTCCCAAAGCTGCCTTACTCACATCTGGATCTGTAAGCAAGGAAAACTGGGGGAAATGTCTGATTTATTGGTCTTTTTCAGTATGGCATTAAGAATTATGTTTTCTTAGCTTTTCTTCAGCAGTTCTTTAGCTAATTTACCAGAGAATCATTTCTTATCACTCATCTAGGACCTTGCAAATGTGGCATTTATTTCTGGAGCCTTTGCTGGCCTAGATTTAAAGCTGCTTTGGCCTTATCTTTCTTTAGTGTAATAAATACAGAGGATTTTTGCAATTATAACACAGAGAGAAGTTCTGGATGCATATACTGCCTTATTGGGAAATTTTCAATCAATGTTACTAACTGTTCATCAATGATAGGATGCTCATATGGCACGAAGCCTGGTGAAATAGTCTTCGAGATAAGGGCCAAAATGAGCTCAAAAGGAGAATTAATACATACTTTCCAACAGGAACCCTGCAAATATGTATGATTAAAAGAAATAGTTTTGTATGGCACAAGGAACATTTTAAAGCAGTCCAGTTTGTTTTTTTAAAAAAGGTTTTATATATTAAAGGCCTATTACCAAGGTATGGCTCTTTGCCTCTTTCAGCTATTGTTAATATTACTCAAAAAAGGTTGACAACTCTGAATCTCAATAAAGGAATGGTTCTTTAGAAATTGTGCATTCCAGCATTACTTCAAGGTGTTAAATAGTATTTGAAGTACCTTCTGGGGAAGGCTTTCTCATCCTTTCTCACCAAACACAGGTATTCAAACATGCTGTTACCTACCTGGTTACTGAACAATGTCAGACAAAGATTAGGATGGTAAGAATGAAAGCAAAGGGAACCTTCTAACAGGACACTTTAGTGCATAATCTACTGAAAATATGTTCACATATCCGTATTTTTTTCAGTATCTGTCAGCCAATGCCTTGATCTTCAAAAGGGATGACAGGATGTTACACACTTTACTTACACTGCACAATGTGTGAGATTAAGAGAGCAGCACTGGTATCATTACAGGTTAGTCTTCCTTGTGCTAAATCCTGCTTCACTTGCAGTGCAAATAAGTACCTTTGAAGACACAAAAGAAAAGGAATGGAAACTGGGTTACAACTTTCACCAAACATAAAAGACGGTTGTAAAACTGAAATGTTTCCTTGTTTCTTGGGAATGTGTTCTCTTGGCACAGAGAATCTGTCTGTGAATTAAGATGAGCCCTTTTTGTGAGTACCCGAAAAGCAAACTGGTTTTGGTAATTCCCACATTAAGGAAGTTTGACTTGTGTTGTGATATTATAATCTTTTTGCCAACCAGTTTGCCCAGACATTTTAATTATTTCCCACATCTCATTGTTTACTGTTCTCTTTTTGCTATTTATTTACTATTCCTAGGTTGCTTTTTGTTTGTAAATCTGAACTTTACATCCCAATACATAAAAACATTACACCACTGATATTAGGGGCTAGTTTTTGATCCCACTGGGAACTCCTAGGTACTGCATGCTCCTTCGAAGGAGTGTTTCTGTTTGCAGAAGTTTGTTTTATCTGAACATCCAGAGCTAGAAACACTTGACTGAACAAAACAAAGCAAAATGAAAAGCATGCAGCTATATAAAGGGTACTTTTCTTCACCCCTTTATCTAAATCCTCAGCCATCACAATTAAAAACCAATATTGGAAGCAACTTACTATCATTTAAACTTCTCTGCATCACAGTTTGTCCAAAACAGGCTTGGGACTAAGTACTACTACTACTACTACTTCACTGTCCCAATGGACGGAACAAAAATTATGCAGTACTCCAAAATTTTATTGTGGTTGCACATACAGACAGAAACCAATAAATGGAAAATGGCTGAATTTGGGGGTATTGCTGTGCAGGTGGTAATTGTCTGAGAAAGACTACATTCTAAGTCTATAAATATTTTATCAACAGTAGGAAAACCTTACCAGTGTTGAATTAATGATTGTACATGTCCTACTTTATCCACTATTTTGTGCCACAGACACTAACTTGTGCCTTGTTTCTTACTAATGTGCCAGGATACTGTTTGATCTAGCATCTTCTGTAAAGGACACTGCAATGGTGAAGCTGCTCATAATGAGCATCTGCAAATAGTACCTTACTGCAATCAGTACCATGGTTACAATTAGAAGATCAGATAATGTCGCTGCAATTTTGTGCATGTATTGCCATGACCAGAGACCACTCTGGCACTATTATTCAGCTACAAGCACCCAAGTGGATTTGGGGAGTCTTGCCAGATGGCCTGATCCTTAACTTCCATCATTTGTAGAATCTACAGTGTTAACAGACATGTATGCATACAGCTACAGTCTCAACAGCTTAATACTTCTAATAGTGTTATTATCTAGGAGCTACACATGCTACACATGCATAATGGATATGACTCATTTCTTTCCTCATTCATCAAAACAAACCACAAGAATTATGAATGGATGAAACTTCTGCAGAACATGAAGTCAGAAGGAGCTCTGTACGTAATCCTGGCTTTATAAGTATGTAAGGATGAATATTTTCCAGGATTTTATAATGATAGTTAGGAATAGGCATAGGCATAAGCATTACACTGTGAAATCAGTGTCTCTCCAAAACTTTCACTGTAAGATCTAGTAATTTTTTTCTGTTGAGAATAGAAAAGCACCATTCTTATACTCTCAAAATAAGACAACAGAGTATAGTGTGATCTGATTTATTTCTGAAAGAAGCTATGATGCTTTATTTTTCCAATTTTATTTTATTCCATTTCTTTGAGAGATGTTGCCATTAACTGAACAATGCCATATTTTTCTCTTGCTCTCAGCTATTCATTCCCCCCACCCCTTGTAAGATGTGCTGAAAGGGCTGTGAAAATAAGGTAACAAGACTGCTTTTTCCTTCGTTGCTTTTATTCTCTTCAGATACAGAATTAACTATTCTTCAGTCATCAGACTACCATGATCCCCTTTCCACTTGTTTTAGTAGCTTAATTTATTTAGCAGCAGGTTATTTTAAGAAGTGGGAAATCAATGGTGGAGATAGAATTATGTGAGGAAAATTAACTCCTGACTAAAAACAAATGCACACAGCTATGAACAATGCAAATTACCAATATGCAATGGTGGTTCCATATCAGACAATACCAAAACTTACAATATGAGGGACCACTGCCAGCTCCCAATAGTAATGATAAAAGTATTTGATATAGCAATAAAAGCACAAAAATATGTAATTTACACATTCATGAGGGGATTTCACTCTGGTTAATATGTGGTTTTAGTCTCCACATACAGACTTTTTCAAGAAAAGAAAACTTGGCATGGAACCTGAAGATATACAGAGCAGGGAGTATAAACTGCTACAAATGGAAAATGTTTGTTTGTACCACTGAGCCAAATCCAAGATCTCTCAGGGCAAATGTGGCATTAGGGCAATAAGACCATAAAAGATGGAGCAGCATCTGGGGGCTCAAGGATGGGGGAAGTGCAAATTATAGCATGACCTTGTCACAGGGTCTGTATATAACCATATAACAGCCAAGGGACAGGTGTGGATGAATTTTAGAACAAACATTGGACAGTGTGGAATCTAATTCAGAAAGAACTTGAGTTTCCCGCTATAACCTGATTTATTGTAATCCAGCAGCACTGTTAGTACATGCCCCTTTATGTAGCAGTAGCAGTCCCCAAGGCTGAATGGGGTTAGAAAATACCAACATATCTCTCCTCCCCCCCAGCCGCCTTACACTGGCTACCTGTTCGCTTCCATACCAGTTTCAAGGTGATGGTATTGAACTATAAGGGCCTAAATGGTTTGGGACCTCGATATCTGGCTGAGCGCCTCCTTCCAGATAGATCTGCCCATCCTATAAGATCATCCCAGGCAGGGCGGCTGAGAGTTCTGACCCAAGAGAGGCCCAGAAAACAACCACTAGACATCGGGCCTTCTCGGTGGTAGCTCCACAACCATGGAACTTTCTTCCACCCGAAGTCTGCCTGGCCCCTTCACTGGGCACATTTAAGAAGCTGTTAAAAACCTGGTTATTAAAATAGGCCTTCTCTGAACAAACAGCTGTATGCTAAAACGGAAAGCCTGAGCAAGAGTGTCACAAGGGGGTAATTCCAGGACTTTAAATTTAGATTGCTGGGAAACTAATAGAGACAGGCCGGCTTGAAACCGGCCATGAGAATTATTTTTAAATCCAGGCAAGGAATATGCTAAAAAACCTTCTAAATGGATCAGAGAGTCTGTCCAGGTTTCCCGTAGAAAGATGATCTCGAACTGTTGGAGGTAGGAGCAAAAGTCGGAGTCCCTTTTCTTGGCTGCCCAGCCAGCTATATTCCAGGATAACAGTTTCACTGATAGGGGCTGGGGCTTTGTTGATCGTCAATTGGTTTCAGTCAGCAAACAGCTGTATGATACAACAGTGTTTGCTAAAGTATCATCCATCACACTGCCATGCTTCTTGTCTTTAATATTTTATGCTTTTAACTGTAATTTATTGTATTGTACCTGTTTTATTGCACTTTATGATATCTGATTTATGCCCCAATTGTATTATTATTATTTTGTATATGTATTATTTTGTTACTCTGTTGTTTTATCTGCTGTAAACTGCCCAGAGTGGCCCTGGATGCCAGACAGACAGACAGACGACGACGATGATGATGATGATTTAATGAAAAGCAAATGAAAACAGAAGATGGGAACACTAACCTTGTTAACTCCTCTTGCAGCTGAGCATGATCAGGCGGGAAGAATTTCACCACAAATTTAAGAATTACATGCTTAGGTCCTAAGAAAGGAAAAAGCAGGAAGTGGGGGGAAACACTCTTAAATATTTTGAAGTAAACAACTGCATCTTGTTACATGGAAACATTTTACAAATGATACACCCGTTTATCTTGCAACTTTAAAGCCCACACAGAATGCTTTTAGCACAATACTGTTAAATGCAACACAGACATGTTTTCTAATGCATTCTAGCCCCTCTGGAATGGTGGTACCTTGAGAAAGTCTGCTGCTACCACATAATGGCATGGAGCTGATATGGGGGCCTTGAAAACTAAGCCAGCAGGGTGAAAGCTCTGGCAAACTTCTGCCAATCTACTTGGGCTTCGTCAACAGGCTCAATGGCAGACTGCATGTCTGTCCTCTGAGGAACAAGGTTGCTAAGTACAGAAAGCCTTATCACCAGAAGGCTGACTACCAGGGGATGAATTGGCCACAGCAACTATAAAAAGGTAACCATGCAAAACATTTGTGATCTATTTATTTCATTTATTTAAAATTATACCCCGCCCATCTAGTGAGCATGCCACTACTCTGGGCGGCTTACAAAATATTACAAAACATACAGCTGAAAATACTAAAACCATGTAAGACATATAAAACATATTAAAAGAAAACAAACAAAACCCTACCAAACCTCCCTCCCTGTAAAAGCACCTAAATAGGGCATAGGATGGCAGACAACAGGCCAGCATAATGATGTGATGCACATCAGCGGCTGGATTACTTGTGCTGGTGAAGTCCTTGGGGTATAGATTGGTCTCTGGCAAAGAAGGCAGTTATGTTAAGAATTTAGAAAGTTGCCTATACAATGTCAGGCCGTTGATTCACTGACCCAGCTGCCACCAACACAGACTACCCAGCAGCTCTATGGGACTTCAAAGAGTGTTTCCTGGCATGTCCTGAAGTTCTCAGGATTCAACCTCAGACCTTTTGCACACTAAGCATGTGCTCTATCACAGAGGTACAGGCCTTCCCCTCATGATCTTTACAAAAGAGGCACCATTCCTCACATAAGTGATGGGCAAAAATGTGGTCCAGGACAAGCTCACGAAGCTCCCCCGCACTAATCTTTATCCAGTAGCCCCTGCCCCCCAACACACACATGTCTATACAGTGGGGTCTCTACTTAAGAACTTAATCCGTATTGGAAGGTGGTTCTCAAGTTGAAAAGTTCTTATGTTGAATCTGCATTTCCCATAGGAATGCATTGAAAACCATTTAATCTGTATCTGCTCTTTTCCGTCCATAGAAACTACAGTGGAACCTCTACTTAAGAACTTAATCCGTTTTGGAATGGTGTTCTTAAGTTGAAACATTCTTAAGTTGAAGCAAAATTTCCCATAGGAATGGACTGAAAACCAATTAATCCGTTCTGGCTGTTTTTTTGTTATGTAGAGGTGTGTTCGTACATTGAAGCATTAGTTCCCATAGGAACTAATGCAAAGCTGGTTAATACGTACTCTCCCACTAGGGGGAGAATTTTTTTTAACCTAAGATGATCTAAGGTTAAAAAAAGAGCAGGAAAGGTTTTTTTTCCTGTTCTTATCTTGGATTTCTGTTCTGAAGTAGAAGCAAAATTTAGCAAATGGAGCTGTTCTTAAGTTCGATTATTCTTAAGTAGAGACGTTCTTAAGTAGAGACCCCACTGTATATCTTTTGTTTCTCTTAAGGTGTCTTTTCAGTGGCACCAAACAGAGTTTGACAGATTTTGACCCTCAACATTTCTATTTAGATTTTATTTTCAGATACAATTAATGCCTTCTAACTCAGATACATTGCAATATTTTGCTTTCCAAAATATCCCAGGCTGTTGTATTAAACAAGTACATGAGAAAAATGTTCCCTTTGAAAGCAAGCAAATTAAATTACACAAGAAATGGTTATGGCTATGATGTTACTGTATCAATTCAGCACATGCTCTTGTTTTTGGACCACTTGTAAAAAGCAGCTAAACCAACTAATGCTTAATAAAGCAAGTCTTACTGATTTTAATAGGGTTTACACCAAAGTAAGAATGAATCTACATGATAAGCTCAATGCTTTCCAAAATGTTGGGTTGCCTGTACAGTATTAACACCCCCGGCAGCACTGATCACAAGTTCTAGTATAGAGAAAGGTGCAGAAATCTCTGCTTGCAGTCAGTCACGTGAATGCTTCCCCCATTGCTTCATAAAAGTTTCTATGAAGTGAAATACTAATCGAAATATTGGAATTGGGAGTAAGTTGAGGAGAAAGGTTTCACCTGTTTTTATTCACAGCCCTTTAAAACCTGGGTATTCTCATGAAGTGATAAAATTGAGGCTGAAAGTGCACTTTTAAATGCTTCATCTTCCAAACAGGCAATAAAAATTATTTTTGAATTATACATAATGTATCACTGAGTGGAAAAACTAGCATATCCTTTTCTTTTAAGCAAAAATCACAGAATCTTGTATGTACACGTGTGTGTACATGAAGATTAAATACATGCACATAGACTATTACCTAAAGTGAATCAGCCAGCTCATCTTTGCAGACAAACTGTTAAGCCTGCAGCTATGAACTTCTACACTACCAAGCCTCCATTCTTTCCAGCTGCTCCCTTCCCCTGTGCCTTGTTGCTTTGCTCACAAACAGAGAGGGAGATGGCATGTGTGGAGCCCCCAACTTCGCATATTCATCCCCACTGCTTGGATTTTGCTCAGGGGTAAGAAAATGTTTTCATTCATGACAGCCTGTTTTGAAGGCACATTCAAAGGATGTGAACCAAGAGGAATTAAACATTCAAATGCAACATAAAGCACAACATGCGTGTGTTTTACAAAACACATGTAAGCACACCAATTTGTCTTTCGTTATTGCCAGAAATGAATTTGGATGAGTAACTCCAGGAACAACTTTGAAAACAGGGTTGCAGAAAAGGAAGCATATCATCAAGCATCTCAAACACAAAGTACAGCAATGCACATCCTTCAAAAGGAACCAGGTATCCTCTGAGGTAAATCAAATAAGCTATGGTTTGACCTGGAAGACATCTACCCTGGATCTGTCCTAACCACTTGATGAGCAGCAGGGAGTGATTCCCTGGCTCACTTGCCCAGCCTTCCTTCAATATTTCTAGATATGTTCACACAAAAATGTAGCATTCAAACAGGGCTGACCTACGAGAGTTGAATTTATGGATACCATTGCCCACAGTCAACAGCTCAGAAGAGATCCTGAAACGAATCATGCAAGCAGGGCCTGCATGTGCTGGATTTTAAAAATGCAGGCTTTCTTATTAGGTTACTATGTGGACATACTAAGAGGCACGGCTGGTGTCCCAAAATAGGTGAAGAGAAGTGTACTCTAACACTTCCTTAGACCCAGCTGCAAGACAAGCCTTATTTAATCTAAGCCTAGTTTTTGCATCGGAAGAAAACTGTCCATACATACTTCTGATCTGTTTCACAATAGGTTTCAGAAGATCCAGCCACACCTGAAAACAAAACAAAAGTATTATTGTCCATGGAAACGTAACAAAAAAAAATGTAACTATAAAGTATAGATTAAAACTAAACTATGCAACACATGCAGTGTTTTCCACCATATTAACAGCAAGGCTATCTGCCACACATTTCATATTTTAATATTCCCATTTCTTGGCCAAGAGAAACTATACAAAAAGTGTAAATTTAAAAAACCGAGCAAAACATCAGCTAAGAATGACTCAGGCAATCACATAAACATACCAAATCAATCCATGGTTCTCCCAGGACTTTATTCTGTACTTCTTTGGTAATATCGTATATAGACAGCTCAATAGGGGTGCTCTCTTCAGAATAAACTATGGCAATGTCATATGGTGACACAGAAGCTAAATGTCAGCATGGCTCTTCCCACGTGACTCTGCTGCTCTGTTATTGTTTCTACCATGGGACTAGTGTCTGACCAAGTTGTTTAACTAGCTGGAAGTGCAATCAGAGACAGCTGTTGGAGAGTTAGAGGGTTGATGAATCTAACTTGGTTGTGTGAGGTAAGAAAAGGGCTGTATTTTTAAAGAATTTTCAGGGAGAATAAGCAGAGCTTGGAAAAAATTGAACTCCGAAGAAAAATAGCTCCTAAGACTGAAACTATCAATCACCAAAAATAGAGGTATTAATAACTCTCCATGCTGATGGCCTCTAAATTCTGAGGCAGTATGGCTCTGAATTATCAGTTCCTAGGGAACAATATTGGAAAGAAAGCTACTGTCCTCAAGTTCTGCTTCTCAGCTTGACTCCGGGGCATTTGGTTGCCCATGATGGCAATCAGGATATACATTTAGATGGGCCATTGGTTTGATCTAGCAGCACTCCTCTTATGTTAATTACTCTGTTACTAAAGCAGCATGCAAAGGAGCAGCAAGATAAGTAAACAGTGCTTTTATTGTTTGTTAATTCTTCCCATAATAATTTAGTCTGACTGACATTTGATTATGTCTGTGTGAATTCTGTTGCGTGAATGGAAGTATCAGTGACAGTGTATCACAAATGAAGATTTAAGATGCAGGAGAAAATAACAGATTTATAGGACACAGCTAAAGGATTCTGCTCACAAACTTTCACATGGTTACTCAGATGTAAACCTCAATAAATTCAGTGTGACTTATTTCTGTAGATTACACATTTTAACATGCCGTGTAGCCACTGATCGATGCATATAAATAAATATGCAGATATATCATAGCGATGTTCAGCTATCCTTAGACATAACTTTTACAGCTCAATCTTATGCTTATCTACAAATATATAAAATTGAAGGAGTTAAGTATATGGAAAGAAAACTCATTTTTCTCCTGGAAATTAAAACAAAATCTTTTGTTTTTTAAAAGAGGAACATAAAGTTATGTTAAATTTGACCATAACTGGATTTTAAATATGTAGCAGAAGAAACGTGTTCTTCTTACACTAGCACAACCACAACTGTCACAGTAAAATGCTATTTTTTAAAAGAGAAGTGTGTGTGCTTTAAATTATTCTGTTTTAATTGTTATTTTACAAACCCTAAAATGGTGACTTAACTCAAGCATTTTCATTTCAATGTTCTATACACCTATGTTAAAATTTATGAATAATTCCTTTAAGACAGAATTTTAAAAACAGTTTTTTAAAGCTGTATTTTGTTAGATAGTAAAAAACTATGCCTTCATCATTTATTTGTTATCCAAATGCAGGAAAATATAGTTTTTCAGATGTTTCAAAAACAGATTGCTATTTTGTGGCATTAACTCTACATCTTGTTACTGAACTTCACACATGGCACATGTCAGCACTGCCAAATTTCTCAAAAAAAGTGACTAAGACACAATAAAGCTACAAATACTCTGGGCACATTGCACAGAGTAGGTGGCTCCATACTGTTATTTTTGGCACAAAAATCATATTTAAGAAGGCAAAAAGCAGTTCGACAATATATGATTTTAATCTAGCCAAAAGTTAATACACAAAGTACTTGGCACACTGCAACAGAATGTCTATATCCCCATTGCCAAGGAATACGAGGCCAGCAAAGATAAACTGGAGGGTATACATTACAAAAGCCGTTTAACTGGCATGTGATTTTGACAAATCATCCTGCAAATTATTCATGATGCCACCTATTTCTTAAGGCAGAAGCGTTCTTATTAAGAAAAACTAAGTGAAACAATTTTTCTCTCTCTTATAAACTGGAGGTTCTACTGTACTCAGATGTGTATGGGTAAGTGTAGTCATAGACAGTATACATTACATTATGCATTTCTTCAGCTGAAAGGTAATGAAAAGAAAATCGCAATTATATGGTATCAGTATTGTATAAACTCTCTCTAAAAATTACATGATTACACATAGTTCTGAAACTGGGCTGCACAAATCTAATATTAAGTCTAGTTTCAGTAGCAGTGAAATAAAGCTGGAAATGGTTGAAAGTTTAAATGATGCCTTATCTCCAGGTTTTCCCCCAGGAAGAATATTGTTGCACAGAAGAAAACAGGGAAAAATGCTTAAGAAATAAATTATGTAAAAAACTTCACCGCATACCGTGATCTTCTTATGATCGAGAAACTCAAGGCCAAAATAGTCACCTTCAACCAGGTTCAGATGATTGCAGACCGCATCCAGTAAAACCTTCCCTGGAGCTCTTTGCTGTAATAAAAACAACATAAGGTTACTCAGCCTATGCTCTTACCAAAACAAACAAACAAACAAACAACCTCCCCCCCCAAAAAAACCCACAACAACACCAACACATTTTTTGGGGAAACATTTTATAAATCCAAATCATCATGAGATCTCACACACAAATAAACACAACCTACAGTATATAAATAATATTGTTTCCTTGTGAGCACAAACAATTGTTCTTCTTTAGGATGCTATAGCCTTGGGACTTATCTGTATATTTGTTCTTTGAAAGAAGTTGCTGGAAAGGCAGTGAATCCGCAAAGGCTTAAAGAAATGACCTTTTGCAGGAAAGAAAGAAAGAAAGAAAGAAAGAAAGAAAGAAAAAGAAAAAAGAAAGAAAGAAAGAAAGAAAGAATAGGAAACATAGAACAAAATTTTAATTTCTCTTCCTTGTTTGTGCAAAACTTGGCTTTTCTGACCTACGGCCTCCATTAAAAACATACAAAAGTAAAAATCGGTTATGAAAATAACTGTTTGATATTTCTGCACATAGTGAGGACATGCAAGTTCTTGCTACTCTGTAGACA